ACACAATAAAACTTCTCATGACCAATGAACTATAAATCCACACACTTTAACTTGCTTCTAGTGGCTTAATGGACATCAGTTCCTAAAGTATCTGAAATATTGACAAAAACTCAGGGTGAAAGGTTAACCAGTCTAAAAACCAACATCAATGCACAACCGATCACCTTCGACTTCCTTCCCTAACAAGGCGCGCGCGCACACACACTCACGTACAGAGTATTACTATCTCTAAGCATCCTGACATGACTTGACGACTATGACTGGATGTTAATTAGATCAATGATCTGAGAGGATACACATATATTGTTGGATTTTCTTTTTTGATAATTCATGCACGCCATCGGATATTTTGCATAAGAAATACTCAATGATTTAACCTAAATAATGAGGAGTAAATTTGTACCGGCAGCCAGAAAAGATGACTGGAACACTAAAGGAACAGCTAGAGTCAATTGCACCTGCTCTAAGAGAGATGCGAATCAGAAAAGAAGAAAGGGTGAAACAATTCAGAGCTGTTCAAGGACAAATACAGAAGATTTCTGCTGAAATAGCAGGACAATCAGAGTACAATGATTCATTATCAAATATTTTACCAAATGGGAATGATCTATCACTAAAGAAACTAGAAGAGTTCCAGAACGAGCTTCAGCGGCTTCAAAATGAGAAGGTATTATTGAGATACTTAACTGTTTGTCCTGGTACTAGCAAAGATGCCCATCAAATGAAAGGTTATGAAATTTTTGTTTCCCCCTCCATCTTCTTTTTTTCTCTGTTTAACACTCTGTCCTTGACATCAAAGATTGAGAGGCTTCAAAAGGTTGAAAACTACATTAGCATGATCCGGTGCTTAGCAGCAACGCTGGGAACAGATTCTTCTTTGATCATTACAAAGGTTCATCCAAGCCTGAACGAATTATCTGGACTATCAAAAAACATTAGTGACAGTATATTGGAAAAACTTGACAGCACTGTTCAGTCACTAGAAGCAGATAAAAGAATACGGCTTGAAAAGGTAATCTCATCAACTCTGCACATTCCTTAGCTATAAAACAAGCAGGCTTTTATCCTAAACATGTCGTTAACAACTCATGACAAATGCAGAAATTTTGAACAACTCATGGATAAAATTTATGAACAAACATGTATTTGCCCAAAAAAAACCAAATATATTTTGGCAAAATCTATAGCCAAACGGGTCCTTAAGCAAATTGTAAGTGAAACATAATTCAAGTGGGTCAAACTCGGTGTTTTTCTTTTTTTAAACGGTATAGGTATAAGGATCAATACAAATCAATAGATCAGCAGACTTGCTGTCCTCACTGTGCAGTATTTAATTGTAGCTTCAACAACTAGGGAAAGCATTGACAAACTTGTGGAATCTCATGGACACATCCCAGAAAGACCGCGTGATGTTCTCTAATGTCACTGCTTTGATATCATTGTCATCAGAAGATATCTCCATTCCTGGAAGCCTTACTCTGGACATAATCCAGCAGGTCAGTGTCTTTATAACTATAGATTATTTATTCTCCAGTACCACAAGGTAAGAGATTTGAAGTTATTTTAAAATTTCCTAGGCTGGCACAGAAGTCAGGAGACTGGATCAGCTAAAAGCAAGCAAGATGAAAGAGCTTTTCCTCAGAAAACAAATAGAGCTTGAGGAGATCTGCAAGCGATCCCACATGGAAATTCCCTCACGGCCAGAGATGGAAAATATAATTAAACTAATGAACTCTGGTTGGTCTAATTTAAGTGTTCCATTATTCAATTATTAAAGTGATATACTGTTTTAGAAATTGAAACTGACCAAAACCTCTAAAAGGGGAGATTGACCATGCTGACCTCCTCACGAGCATGGATAAACAGATATCACAAGCACAAGAAGAAGCATCTAGCAGGAAGGCTATAATGGAGAAGGTAGAAAAATGGATATTAGCTCGTGATGAGGAACGATGGTTGGAAGAGTATAGCAGGGTCAGTTGCTTTCCCTATGAGATTGAGTAGCATATTCACTTTTCTTCATCAACTTTTTTCATTTTAGACATGCATATCTTTAGGACGACAACCGGTATTCTGTAAGTAGAGGTGCTCACAAGAATTTGAGAAGAGCAGAACGAGCCAGAGTCATGGTTAACAAAATACCAGGTATCAAAATATTTTCTTCCAATGGCTTACAATCATCAAAATCAGCTAGTAATTGGCAGCCATAAAGCCTTTACAGTGGCTTAAGCAACTAGCTGTTGAATTAAAAGAAGACTAGATACATAACAAGGCTGTGCTTCTACAAGTTAGTCAGATCAATTATGTAATCGAGTAAACAAGCTGGAAATTTGATTAGAGTCTTCATCTAGGACTTGTTCATTTCATTGCCTTTTTTTTTTTAAATATGCAGCTTTGGTGGATATGCTGATAGCAAAGACTAAAAGCTGGGAGGAAGAAAGAAAGAAACCTTTTGTATATGATGAGGTAAGAACTTAGTAACTCATCACCAAGTAAAATACTTTTATTAGTTAGCACAAAGAATTACTCAAAGTTCCATACAAAGTATATGAGCTCATGTCTATCGTTTGAAGTTAAGAGAAGCTCACTTGGATTTATCCATGGATATATATATATATATATATATATATATGTGGGTGTGGGTGTGTGTGTGTGTGTGTGTGTGCGCGCATAGGTTTATGTAGAGACCAAGAAACGGCCAATAAAAGTTATGTCCCCCTTTAATATTCTCTAGTTGTGAAAATACTCAATATGAAGCATTGAAAAATGTAATAGAAATGCAATCAAACCTTAGCATCTTAATGAACTAGCAATAGGCGATATTAACCATGTTGGGGTTCAAAAGAAATACAAAATAATTTGATCAGAAACTAGTGAGGCAATGAAAAATATTGCAGAATTTAGTCAAATGTATTTTCGGAGAGGGGTGAAATAAAAAGATAATATTACTAACTGCACCTATGTCAAGCCATGCATTGGATTCCAGTGCTCCACTTCATAAGAGAGAAGGATATCTAAAGCAGAGGCTGCACCGAAATCTTGATTGACAGGTAAAATTGATAAACATGCACAGTATCTAAGGACATGTTCATCATGAGAACCCAACATCAACTATGACTCGGATACTACTAGGAAGGACAATAAGCCTTCAATTTGGTGTTGCAACCAGAAACATAGAGAAGGAAGAGGATTTTTTTCCTAACATTAATTATCTAGATGAAGATCAGCTACTGCTAGAGTTAAAGTGACCTGGCCATATTCTAATATTGCCAGGATAGCTGAATGCAATAGAATTGCACTCTGAGAAAGCAACGAAATGAATTGTTGATCTGTAAAAACTACAGTTGTGCAGTATACCTATTGGCACTCCGCCGATATTTTGATTCAGTCATTGTCCCTATTCATCTCTTACATACCAGAAGTTCCTGACCCCAGGTACCACTACTTGCAATGCTGGAGGAGTATAATTTTCTAAGGAAAGAAAGAGATGAAGAGAAACAAAGACAGCGGGTAAGCACCGCGACCCATATAAAAAGTTTCCTTTGTTATTTAAAGTTTCACTTTTCTCTGCCTCTATGTACATTATTCAACTTCCAATTTCTTCAACAACAACAAATGTCTCAATTCCACACTAGTTGAGGAATTTCCAACCTATACTAACATTCACATAAAAAAATAGTGAATACCTCAACTTAATCGGTACCTCCTTTTACAAGAAGTAATGTTGCTCTTGCAGGAAAAGAAGAAAGCGCCGAATCAGGTGTCGGTTGGACAAGAAAATCTCTTTGTTCTGAGGCCAAGCACCAGCAGCAACCGTATTTCTGGTGGAAGCATAAATGGAGGCTTCAACAAGGCTACACCTTTGAATAGAAAGTCTTCTTTGGGTATACAACAGCTGGGATCAACGACCATTAACACACCACAACAAAGCATTTCTCTGCTAAAGGAAGCAAAGAAAGAACACCATAGAAAGATCCTTACCCATAGTCGCTTTGCTTTTCATCCAGGAGATGATTCAGCTTCAGTAGTCTCATCATTTTCAGGCCCTTTTTCACCTTAGCTTCTGTGTATGGTTAATAATTTTGAATTTATTTGAGTTCACTAACCTGATCAATCTGATAAGTAATTCCTTAGTAGGGAGGCAAATTCATGCAAAGGGGTAATTTACATTGTCAAGGCTTTCTGCAATTTATTAAAAAGGACACCAATAGACAGCTGGGAAAGTTTGTTGCGGAGTATCTGAAAATAGAAACCCATATAGAGTGTCTTGTCCCTTTGTTACAAGCATCAATATATTCACTCCCTCTTTTGTGCTCTAAGGCTACTTTGTTGACCGGTTTTTATATATGTGTATATACATATACAAACACATACACACATAAAAGCACATAAAGATTTACACGATACACATCATGCAAGGGGGATGCTGCAGTTTGGTTTGGTCACCCATGGGATCTTTTTGGAAAGATCACAAAAGCCTGAATCTTATAATCAGCAGCATAAGTTTAATGAACAACCTGCATTCTTTTGGAGATCTTATTTGATCATGTAAGAGATAATAAGGTAAAACCTTCGTTGGGTAATGATTGACGAAGTGGAGTCCAAGTGAACTATTCATGAAATTTACAACATTTTCACCGGCATTAGGAAGGCTTAATTAAGGCAAACAGCTGTTCTATGCAAATGGATTAAACTGTCACCAAGTTTAGTGTTCATTCATCAAATCAGTAAGCCACTAATGCAATGGTGGCTACAGGCTTTCTTTTACAATCTGATAGGTAGAGCAAGCCATGGTCAAGTGCAAGATAGACAAAAAAAAAAAAAACACAACTAAGGTGAAACAGAGTTGGCAGAATTGAGTCAAAATATCCGGGGGAGGCATTGTTGAATGAATTGACGGGATATATAAACATCTTAAAGTTATGGCATGAACCTACATTATACAAGGATTTAACACTACTTAACAAATCTCAGAAATAATAACCTTTGGATGACTCGTGTATGGATCATGAATCAATGAAGGTGCACTAAAATGATTAAATCGAATCAAAACATATATGCAATGCCTTCGGTCCTCGCCACGTCGATTCTATTCATACATAGATAACACCCAAGGTTATAAATTAGTACCAATAGATACAGCAATACTCCTCAATAACAAATGTCTGGAAATCGTAGATCCTCCCTGGCAACGCATAATCGTATTAATTAGTCAAGGAAAATAAAACTTCTTTTCAAATCATAATCATAAGCTCTACTCTGAAATGTGAACAGCGAGTTTTAAGTGGACTTCTGAAAGAATGCCTCGATTCGTCGTGTTCCAGAAGGAAGCGGCTTCTCTGTTGATAATCGAGGACGATTTTGAATCTTAGGAGAAGGATTGGACGGCTGTGAAGGCACGGGAAGCGAGTCGAGAAGGAAATCGCTCGTAGGTTGATGCCTTTTCACGGCAACTCTTAAATGCTCGAGCTTTATGGTTTTTCTCTTCTTTTCTAAGGCGACTTGCGCTGACTTCTCCGTTAGGACTTCGAGGAAAAGTTCGGTGGAGCTAGCGATCAGATGTAGGGCTTCTGCGTTCACCTTGTTGATGTCCTGATCCAGTTTCATGATTTTCTTCACTCGGCCTAACGGGATCTGGAGTTGGTGGACTTCTCCGCCGGCCGCGGTGGAATTTTTTTCTTCATCTTCTCCGGCCATTGAGCACTCTGATTGTCGAAGATGACTAAACTAGGGAATTGGTATTTAGGGCTTCTGGGTTTGGCGGGAATTAGTTTTGGCTTTCGCGCCAAAAGGTCGATTTCTCACTTCGGTGTTTGGAAAATTGAGTAAATTCCATTTTGGTTCCCTAATGTTCTGAGTTTTACTTTGGTTTGGGGCTTAATTTTTTTTTTTTTTTTTGGAGGTAATTAAAGGCTTAAATTTGTATTTGTCTCAAGTTTGCATTCTTTTTAATGTTTCAGAGTAGGGTGTTCAAGATAAAAATGGAATCTGTTACTCGAATCACAAAGCTATGTTATCGAGATCCGATTAGGGCGTGTTCAAACCGAACCGGGAAATTGTACCAAACCGAAAAGTCAAATTAAATCGATTAAAAAATTCGATTAGCATTGGTTTGATTTGGTTTGGTATTGAGTAATAAAACCCGAACCAAACCGACATATAAATATATAATTTTTATATATACTTTTAACACTTTATAAAAAAAAATAATTCTTTAAAAAACATCTATAAATATTTGGGATCTTCTCATGGGATGTAATATTTAATAGAACTATGAAGTGCATTCAATTTATTTACTTCAAATAATGGGTTGTAATACTTTTTATCAAGTGTTATTGAACTGTGTCAATCATCTCTTTGTTCTTTCATATTCATATGTCAAAATTTCTTATATTTTTTTCGAATTTAAAGTGATATTTCTATAATTTAAACTTAAATGGAGTAGAACATATTAGGTATCATATTATTTTTATGTTTAATTATTAAATTTGGTTAACCTTGAAAGCGTACATCAACAGAAAATCATTGTTAGACGAGTAATAGCTTGTTTGGATGGTTGTTACATATTGTATTGTATTGTGTTGTTACATTAAATACAATATTTGTTTTGATTGTTACTTATATTTATTGTATCGTATCGTTTAAATCCATCGTTGTATAATGATGAAATGTGCCATTTTATGGATGAACGATTTGGTGTGGCCGCGTTATTACCTTATTTTTTCCTCATCTTGCCCTTTTTTATTATTAAATAAATTTATTTATCATTTATCATTTACCCTATCTTTTTATATAATATTCTACCTCGTACCTGATAAATGGTGAAAAGTGCATGTTTTGAGTGTGTATATGTATTATTTTTGTGTGAGTTGTGGAAGTTCACACTGCTTTTGAAGTGAAAATATGCTCATTACGTGTATCTTATGTGTAGGAACAAACTTACGCGGAAAAGGATCAAATGGGAGAAAATTTGGTGAAAAAGAGCCGAAGAGAAAAGTCTCGGACAGCCAAGCGAGGCTCACTTCGCCAGACCGGGACCGAAGCAGAAGAAATCTGGAAAGTCCCGGACAACGAAATGAGGGTCACTTCGCCGGACCGGGACCGGGACAGAAAAATTTAACTTTCCCAATCCGAACTAGGAGAAGCAATTTCGGCCCAAACAAACTCTAATCAGTATAAATACATCCTAAAACGTCATTTTGAGGGAGAGACACTACTTTGGAAGGAGAGAAGACTTTAGGGAGGCAAAAACACATCAGGAGCAAGAAGGAGAAGGATTCAACTTCACATTTTTTCTCTCTTTCGTCTTCTATTTCCAATATTGGTTCTGAATTCTAGTATTGTAGTTTTGCATACTATTATGAATAGCTAATTTTTTATTTAGGGTTTTGATGGAACCTTTTGTTGGATGAATTCTTGTTATATTTTTATATAATTAAGCTGTTGGATTTCTCTACTTGTTCAACTACAGGTTTGTTGTTGTTGATTGAATGGCCATCAATTGACTGTGCTTTATTTAGTGTGTATTGCTCGAGAGAGAGTACATATTTAGGTAGTTGTTGAACAACATCACTCCTAACGTATGTGAGAGATCAATACGGAGGGTTTAAAGGCTGGATTAGAGATAACGAAACCTTGGTGCGATCGTAGTGAGCGGTGAATTAGTGCCAGATAACGTAGTTCGAGAGAATACGTCTAGTAAATTGTGGTAGTTTCTCGAGAGAGAGCTACAACACCCAATGTAACGATCCGACTTGTCGTTTTGAGCAACTGCGTCTGGTTCGGCAGTTTAAGGTCACGAGCAGCTTCATATTATGTGTATCGACTTGCGTGCATGGTTGGATTCGGTTCCCGGATGAATCGGAGTCGAATTAGAAGAAGGAATCTAGTTTTGGAAGCCTAAGCGGTGAGAGTTTGACCGGAATTTGATTTTTGAGTAAACGGCTTTGGAATGAGTTTTGGATGATGTCAGTAGCTTCGTATGGTGATTTTGGACTTAGGGTGCGTTCGGATTTGGTTTTGGAGGCCCGTAGGGTAATTTGAGGCATTTCGGCGAAAGTTGGAAAAGTTAAAGTTTAGAAAATGGAGAGGTTTAACCCATAGTTGACTTTTGTGTTATCGAGGTCGGAATGCGATTCCGAAAGTGGGAACAGCTCCGTTATGTCATCTGGGACTTGCCTGCAAAATTTGGTGTCGTTTTGGAGTTGATTTGATATGATTCGGACGCGTGGTTGCAATTCTAGAAGTTCTTGAAGTTCATAGTGATTCTCATGCATTTTGGCATTCGATTCGTGGTTCTAGAGGTTATTTTCGTGTTCCGATTGCGCGAGCGAGTTCGTGTGGTGTTTCTAGACTTGTGTGCATATTTGGTTTAGAGCCCCGAGGGCTCGGGTGAGTTACGGATTGGCTTCGGAATGATTTTTGCATGGTTTTGATTTCTGGTACTGGTATTATCGCGTTTGCGATGTATTGGTCGCAAATGCGACAACTGCAATTGCGAAGCAGCCATCGCATTTGTGGGGTCTGAGCTGCTGGGCAGAATTCGCATTTGCGAAGGACTCTGCCGCATTTGCGAAAGTCCTTCCATCGCATTTGCGAAGATTTTGTCGGAAATGCGACCTCAGCAGGAATCTGTCATGTTCGCAATTGCGATATTTTTCCCGCATTTGCGAACTCCCTGTCGCAAATTCGACATCTGCAGCTCGTTAAGTGCTGAATATTTCAGGTTTTTGCTTCATTCTTCACATTTTTGAACCCTAGCTTCGAGGTGAGACGATTTTGAGAGGGAATTTTCATACCAAATCATTGGGTAAGTGTCTTTAACCAATTTCCAACTATATTTCATAATTTTATACAAGATTTAACATCAAATTCATGGGAAATCCATGGAAAATTTTGGGGATTTTGTCAAAGTTTTGAGAAATGAAAATTTGAGATTTAAGAGTCGAATAAGACTCGGATTTGAAAACAAAACATATATTTGGACTCGTGAGGCTATGGGTAGTCAAGACCTACCCTTGGACCCGGGTTTTGACCGGGCGGGCCCGGGGAGTTGACTTTTGCAAATTGTATAAGAATCATAGTTTTGTTAATTAAAATTATTTTCTCTTGCATTGGTTGATGTATTCAAGTCGTTTTTGGCTAGATTGAGCCGGGCATTGTTGAATCGGTAAAGAAAAAAGCTAAATTGAGTTGGCCGGATTGAGGTAAGTATCTTGCCTAACCTTGTGTGGGGGACTCCCCCTTAGGAATTGAGTCTTCTATGCTATTTGTAGTCCGTGCACGCGAGGTGACGAGTGTGTGCTTGGACTTATTTGTGGGAAATTTGCCTTTAGGGTTCTTTGGTCCTTATGTTCATTAAGTGGGAATTTTTTCCGATATGATTGTGTTTCCTAATTGCTTGTTTTACCTATATATGTTCCATACAATGTTGTTAACTTTCCTCTATTTCGTACTTGTTACCTGGCCCTTAATTGCCTTAATTGGAGTGATTGTCCTCATCGTTTTGTCATTCTTAATTGTGAAATCTCTCTATGACCCCGTGCCTATATGCTATGTGTCCAAATTGTTGTGTTGCCGGTGTAGTTATTACGTGATTTATATGTCTTGTTGTTTTTGTAAAGGTTGTTGTGCTTATTGGGTTTTCCGTGATTCTCATGTTGCAATGTACTCATACTCTTGGTGGTAGAAAATCCTTGTGATTGGGTTGTTGAATTGTTGTTACTGTTGTTGATTTTAAACTATGCTGGGTTGTTGGTATGTTGAGGAGGAATAAGGGAGAATTGATGTTGTTCGGTGGGATCAGGTTGCACGCCGCAACAAGGAGTAATAAGGGTGGACAAGTGGGATTGGGTTGCAAGCCACAACAAGAGGAATAAGGGAGAATTGATGTTGTTCGGTGGGATCAGGTTGCACGCCGCAACAAGGAGTAATAAGGGTGGACAAGTGGGATTGGGTTGCAAGCCACAACAAGAGGAATAAGGATATATATATATATATATATATAGATATATATATATATATATATATATATATATACATATATATATATATGTGTGCGTGTGTGTGTGTGTGTGTGTGTGTTGTGTGTGAGCATGTGATTTTTGCCCTATACGAATTACTCCAACAGATCCCAAGAAAATAGATTTTCTGTTAATTTTTGCCATTTTAGGAATTTTTAAAGAATTTTCTTAATTATTTGCATTTCTGTGCATGTTTAATTTTTATTTAAATCATGAAAAATACCAAAAATGTCATGCATTGCATTTAGGCTTTTGTTTTTATATTTTTAGAATTAATCAGTAATCATTTGTTTTATAAAAATTTGAAAATCACAAAAATAGCTCATTTTTACACTTTTTGTCTTTTAATTTTTAGTTTATTAATATTCCTCTTTTATTTAGAATTAAGGATTGTTGATCATTTTTATAATTAGTTAAATAGTTTAATTTCACATTTTTAGATAATTTAGGATTTTTTATTAGGATTTTTAATTAAAAAAAAGGAAAGAAAAGGGAAATAAAAGAGTTGGTTTCTTATTTTCTGGACTGATCCTAATATCCAAACCGGCCCAAACCCGTCCAAAATTCCCTTTGACCCAAGCCCACCCTGCCAAACCCGGTCCAGCCCCGTCTAACACCAAACGCTGCCGTTTCATCACCCTAAAATCCTAGCCATTGGATTTCCTTGATCCAACGACTCGCAACTCCTTACCTAAAGCCAATATAACTGTCCGAATTAGGTCAACCCCCCCCCACCCAAAACTCAAAAATTCATTT